TTTGAAACAAATCAATCATATTTTTGCGATCGTTTCTCAATGTGTCCAACACTGACATCAAATCGCTTCTAACCGTCTGTTCGTTACAAACAACACATTAATTAAGACTAAATGACAAGTGATTTAAGGCATACATTAGTGTAGTGTTTGTGTTGACTGTTATTCGCAAACAAAAGCGACTGAAAGTTAGTTAAGTTCTCTCTCTTCAAAGTCTCGATTTCTGCCAAAAGAGTGGCATTTCTTTCCACTAATTCCCGGTTATTGTCGTTCGTCTTCAACGAGTTGTAAACCATGTCTTTGATCTCATCTAATGGACAGTCAATCCATGAAAATGAGTCAATCATTTCAAACCATCAATCAATGCTTACTTTGTAAGAGTTGTCGCCGTTTTCGCATCGATTTGCACTTTTTGGGCATTATTTGTGTCTTATGTCTGGTCTTCATGTCTTGGAAGCGATGTATCCCTCAATTGAATGACACTTTAAATGCAATCAAACCATTCATTCAATCCTTTATTTGCATTCAATTGTAAACAAAACGTTATTTTAAACACACTTTCAATGCATTCGTCAACTATTTTATACATTCATTACTCACTTACTATTGGTCTCTCTCTCACGCCTCTCAGCCAATCAGTGCATCCATTTGTCTCCACTACAGTCCATATCTGTTATACAATACGTTATTATTATCGCTAAAAATGAGTTAATATTTAATTATAAATTAAAACAAATAATGATTGACTCATTTAAATGTTAGTTAAATTGATTTGTAATCTATAAATATAATCAACAATTATAATATTAATTGTAAAATAATTACATTTTAATAACAATTTTAAATTAATAATGTTTACGTAATTTATGTACAAAACTAATGATTAATCAAAAATCATATGAAGTAAACAAACAATAAGTTTAACATTAATTGAGTATTAATTTGAATAATAAATCAATTGTAAACAAAATGTCAAACAATAGGCAATACAACGGCGACTACACTTCGGTTAACGTATGTATTGTCTCACCATTTGATCTCTTAATTGATGTCTATATGTCTTCGGGAAGAATAGGTGGACAGCGGAAGCGATGACAACTTAGAGACGCAGAGGTCTGTTATGACAAACATATGATTATTGAATGCATTTCTAAACCACTGATTGAATCCATGTTTTAGCCCACAGACCACTAGTGATCCAAAGATACAAAAGTGAGTACAAACTTGTGGTCAATGTTTGTCTTGTATTAATGGTTTGATTGAATCAATTGATTCACTCCAGACTCAAACAACACGTGAATGAAGTGTCAAATATAATGCAACAGAATATCGATAAGATCTTAGAGAGGGGTTCCCGTCTCGACAATCTCGAGGACAGGTCCGAGATGTTGACCAATAGGGCCGACGAGTTCCGAGTGGGCGCCCGACGCGTGGCCCGCAAGATGTGGTGGCAGAACATGAAAGTCAATATCTTCATCGGTGTTGTCGTCACTATTGTTATACTTATAATCGTTTGTATGTTTTGCCCGCAATTGTTTCGCTCATTGTCTCATTTAATGTGATATATTTTGTTGTGACCATTAGTGTCGTTAACCGAAACCAAATCCACCAAATGATGGCATTGATTGGCCTCCACTTTGATATGTTCGCAGAGATTACACCACTTTTTATATACTATTAATGCATAATTGATTTGTAATTAAAGAAAGTATTGTTTATCAAAATGTTTTATCTATTATTTTATTGAATAATTGTTTTGTAANTCCACTTTGATATGTTCGCAGAGATTACACCACTTTTTATATACTATTAATGCATAATTGATTTGTAATTAAAGAAAGTATTGTTTATCAAAATGTTTTATCTATTATTTTATTGAATAATTGTTTTGTAAATTCAATATCAATTTAATCCCAATAAATATTTAATTTTATTTACAATTTCAATATTTTTATGACAACTATTTTCCTAATCATATTTGTTGAAGAGATTTACAATTATTAATAGTGTTATAAATGATTACCTAATTGTAAGACTGACTATAATATTACAGTACTGAATAAATCAATTGCAGTAATGGGTGTAATCTAGACTTGATTCTAGATAATCGCTTATTTCAACACATTTTGAAATATAAATTACTCATCGCTTGGGTTTAAACATGTCGTAACTCATGAGTGATAACTTGTGAGAAAGTTTCTAAATAATGAATCAATAGAAATGAATTTAATTTAACAATTTTAATATTGAAATACATTTGACAAATAAATAGATTGTTTTATAAAATTCATGAATGCTATTTGTAAATAACTTATTATTAGTGAACCGGTAGTTGACTTTTAACAACTGGACATATATTTCTTAACACATGAGTTGTTGGAGTGAAACACAGAATATTCTGTATCCAAGACAATAACTTAGCTGTGATTTAATTGAAAAACAAACAATTTATATATTTTAATGCATAAATGATTACTAAATGGATTGTGTAACGCAAAACAAATCACGGATAAAGTAATAGACAAAACAAATTCAACGTTAATTTAAATTCAATTCAAATCAAACAAAAAGTATAAAACCTGTAATAATTAGGGATAGTTTTGGTGTGACTTAACGGAGACATGACTGCCATCTATTGGTTACAACGCGTGCATAGAGTTAGGCATAGATTAAGTCATACAATGAGTGTACGTATGAATCACTTCTCAAGTTGTGTTAGTATTGAGTAATCGCTGAATGAGTTGGCAAATGGTTTCTCTCTCTTCATG